GCCCGCCGGGCTCGGTGTCCGTCCCGGTGCCGCTCCCGCTCCGGCCTCGGCCCGGCCTCAGCCCCGCCTCATGGCGCCCCCGCGCCCGCAGCCTCGATGGAACCGGCCGCTCCGCACCGCACCGCCCCCCTTCCCCCCCCCGCACCACGCCGATGGACGCGCCCGCCGTACTGCGCCCAAGAGCGGCGGCGCTGAAACCGCGCGGCGGGGCGTCTCGACCGTAATGCTCCGAGTGGCAGCGCAGACCAACGTTGGCCCCAGGGGGGAAGATGTCCCCCGGCCAGCCCTTGGGAAGGAAGGTCCCGGGACAACCAGGGGTAGCGTGCAGAGGGGTGCCCAGCACCAGCCCCGAGGGATCGGGGGGTTCGTCCTGGGTCAGCCCTGCGGGTCTGCATGTACCCCTGGGCAGCCCATGGGGTGTCTGTGGGGGTGTCCCAGGGGATGTCTCACAGGAGCTGGGGGGATCATGGACCAGCCCTGGAGGGGTTTGCTGGGGTCCCATGTTGGCCCTTGTTACCCCTTCTCCGGGGGCTCCATGACCCAGGTGTGGGGTGAGATGGGGACCTCAGAACAGGCTGGGGGCACCCCATGGCTGCCTGGGTGCCTGGACCCCTCAGGATCCCAGTGGAATAGGAGCAAAGGGGGCCAGGACCATAGAGACGGGGGTCCCACCACACCAGGGATGTCTGTGTTTCCCCCTGGCCTCCCAGCCCTCTTCTGCCTGAGCGGAGCGGCACAATCCGCCCTTGTCCCCAGCGGGTCTGAAGTAGGTCAGGGAGGCTGGGCCGAGCCCCCAGGGAGGGAGTGGATGACAGGGGGTGCGGAGGCCTCCAGGAACCCACCCCAGTAGCCACACCACTGGGTTGATGCCCATCCCCTGTCCTGGTGAGACCTCGGTGTCCTCAGCTCAAGGGATGACGGGTGTTTCCCCAGCCCCTCTCCGGTCCCCTGGGGTGTTTCAGGATCCCGCTGCCTCCCCACAGGCTCCGCATCCCTCCTGGGAGCCGGAGTCCCATGGGTGCGGTTTGGGGTGGTGGGATCCAAATCTGTCCTGGGGGACAGCACCCAGCCCTTGGGGTCTGGGGGGTTGGAGTCGGTGAAGGGTTGGGAGGGCTGGGTGGGAGCCGGCAGATGAGCTCAACAAATAAGGAAGGTGAGAGAGGGATTTCTCACCCCTTAATTGCAGTTAATAATTGATGAATGTGTTTACTGCAGGAGGCAAAGGTCTGTGGTGGTGTCAGTGTGCGAGCGCAGAGCAGCCTGCCCGGCAGCATCCCCAGCGACGCAGCCGCAGGTAAGGGATGTCAGCCCTCCTCCTGGACCCCACGGGCACCGTGGTCCATCGCAGGGGGAGGTGGGGGTGTCTGTTGGCTGTGGGGCTACCCACGGGCCGTGGTGGTGTCACGGGTTGCTCCTGAGCTCCAAGTGCCGCTTGGGGTGGCCCCATCAAGCCCAAGCGATGGAGCCTCCAGCCACGTCCAGGAGAGGCTTCTGGGGGTCCCCAAGCACCCCTATGGTCTCCAGCACCTGGAGATGAAACCTGTCCTCCCATGACATGTGCCCAGAGAGCCTGTGCCTGGGGGTGTGGGATAGAGCCTGGTGCTTGCTCGCCAGCCCAGCTCAGCGGAGGGGACTGTCCCCAACCACAGCCCCTCCTGCTCTGGGGCCTGCTCTCCAGGAGGGATTTGGGGTGGCTGGTGGGAGCAGGCAGCCATTAGCCCCAGGTGTTGGTTCTCTGGTGTGTGTCCGTAGGCTTGCCGGCAGGATGGCATGGCGCTCGCTGGTGCTGCTCCCCTTCCTTCTGACAGCAGGTGAGGACTTTGCTCGGTGACTGTCATGGACGGGTGGGAAATGTTGGAGGTGTTTTCAGCCCTCAACACTCATTCCAAATTCCCTGAGGGCAGCTGGGACCCCCAAAACAGCTGCCCACTCCGTTGGCACCTTGGAGACCCAAGGACAACCTTGCTGCTCCAGGGCAAGGCAGAGCGGGCAGAGGGCTGGGCAGGGGGGACACCATCCAGCATGGGTGCTGCAGCTGGAGGTGAAGCGTGGTCTGGAGGTGGGAGGTGTGGGATGAGCACGAGGAAGGTGAGGGGTGGTGGGTTCTCCTGCCTCCCCTGGAGACCCAAACCATGGCCAGGAGCTGGGGCTGGAACTAGGTGGGTGCTTCTGGGCTTGAGGGTGCAGGCAGAGCCCACTGCAGGGCTGGTGCTCAGCACATCTCCTCCCTGTAGTTTCAGCCAACGTAGCCCCATTTTTCAACATGACCGTCGTCTACGTGCCTGAGGACCTGGAGCTGGGTGAGTGGGGCAGCCTCAGAGAGGCCCCGGGGTGCTGGAGGAGCAGCCAGGGGGGTACCCGGGCAGGGGCTGATGCTGATGCTGTCCCCAGGCCAGTATGCTTTCCAGCTGAAGGCTTATGACTTAGACGGGGATCCGATCGTCTACAGAATCAGCGAGACCTTCTACTTCTTTGTTGATGAACGGACGGGCAACGTGACACTGAAGAACTACCTGGACCGTGAGGTGAGGGCAGAAACTGGGGCAGATGTCCCTGCCTGAGTTGGGGGTGCCTGGGACGATGGAGACAGAGAGCAGAGCCGTGAGCCCTGGAGGAGACCTGCTCACAGCAGTACTGTGGGGTCGCTCCCTGGCCTGGAACCCCGGCACTGCGTGGGAGAGCCATGTCGGGGGACCATCCCACCCAGGGTGGTGGGTGGGAAGGTGTTGGGCTGAGTGATCCAAGGATCGAGCTCTGCCTGGTCCTGACCAAGTCCTGCCTTGTGTCTCCCTAGACCCAACCCAGGCTCACCCTGACCGTCACTGTGACTGACAATATCAACGCACCGGTGAGTACTGGGGCACAGGCTGGGTGGCTGCAGCGGGTGATGGGGATGGGGACCAGGGTCTCAGCAGGGCTGTGGATGAGGCTCGGTGAGGAAGGGGGCTGGAAGGGTGGCTTTGACCAAGGGTGGGTGATGCTGTCTGGCTGTGGAGCTGGGCGGGTGCCCGGTACCAGAGCTACACCCAGCTCTGCTGCACTCACCCTGCACCCTCCCTGACACCCGGTAGGTCTCCAGAAAGATCACAGTCATCGTGGAGGACCGTAACGACAATGCCCCAGTCTTCCACAACCTGCCTTATGAAACCACCATCCCTGAGGTACCTCCCCAAGACCTGGGCCCATGGGCAGTAGAGCAGAGCCTCTCCAGGTGGCTCCTGTGGCATGGGTATGCCGGCAGCGGGACAACGGTGCCACCGTGAACAGGGTGACCCTGCGCCTGGGCGTGCAGTGACGGTGTGCCTGGTCATGGGGTGACGGTGTGCCTGGGCGTGGGGTGACGTTGCAGCCGGCACTGCTGACATGGAAACGCTCTGTGCCGGGGCAGTTCCCCGGCAGGCACCTCTGCCCCGGTCCAGCATTATGGTGTGTGGCTGGGACTCTGCCCTCGTCAATGAGTTTCTGATCAGGGAGTGCCTGAGCTCAACCCAGGTCTGGGTGAGGCTGGACCAGGGTGCAGACAGGGTGTGGGGCTGATCCCGAACCCCTCTCGGGCAGCCCCAGGGCTGGGGTGCAGCCCCTGCTCCCAGGGAGCCCTAGGGAGGATGGCGGGGATGGGGGGCATCTGGCCACTGCCTGGCATCAGCAAGGCCAGCAGCTCATCTCTGTGTGGCCCAGGGCACTGGGCAGCCCCTGGAGCCCTGCGGGGCCAGAGCACCTCAGAGCAGGGCTGGCAGGGGCTGGGCCCACCACCACCACCCCTGCTCTCCCTGGCAATGCCACCGACACCGCTTTGTGTGCCCAGAACACGACAGTCAACAGCACCATCTTCACCGTGTTTGCCAATGACAGTGACACTGGGGACGCCTCCAAAGTCAGCTACAGCATCGAGGAGGTGAGCACAGGGCTCAGCCCCAACATCCAGGGCATTGTCCTGGCCAGGGGCTAAGTGTGCTGGGGTTGGGGGGGCCAGGAGGATGCTGGGGGTCCCAGGACCTCCCCAGAAAGCACTCTACACCAACAGGAAGATGACCTAGCTCGACCACATGAGCCAGGGCAGGCCCTGGCATCTCCCCTGGCTGAGCTTGCCCACTTCCTGGCACCGAGAAGGGGTTCATGCCTGCTAGATAGCAGCAGTGCGTGGCAGATTTGGGGCATGCTATATCCAAAACCCACCCTTGAGCCACCTCTGTGGGGCAGAGGTACTGGGGGACCTGGGCAGGGGAAGCCCCATGGCTCTGGGGGAGCAGGGGTATGTGGTGGGTCAGGAGGGCTGGCTCTGCACCTGCTGGGAAATGGTGCAAGGTGCTGAACAGTTGCAAGTTGGGGACAAACCAGATGGTAGGGCGTCCCTGCAGCCTGTGGACCAAGCCCAGCAGAAGGCTGGGGGTTGAGCCCCCATCTCTTCTGGGGCACCTCTGCTCCCTGCCTTGGTGACATGGACAGGTGTCCCTTGTCTAGGTGGTCCCAGACAACACGACGAATTACTGGCTCTTCTCCATCCTGCCCAATGGGAACGTGATACTCAAAGGCTCACTGGACTATGCCAAGAACACCTTCTACCAGATCAAGATCCTGGCCAAGGTGGGGACCAGCTGGGCCAGGGGCATGGGGCTGCCAGGTAAGGGTGCCATGGCACTAACGGGTGCTCTGCTCCCCAGGACGGTGGAGGGATGCTGCACAATCAGTGGGTCGTCCAGGAGAGCCCGACCTACCTGTCCCTGGCCATTCGCGATGTGCCCAACCTGGACCCACGGTTCCTCAACGAGCCCTACTCCGGCTCTGTGCCCGAGAACTGCGACCTGGTAAGGAGCCCACCTCCCCCAGCATCATGTCCCTAACCCTGGCCCTCCCTGGGAGCTCTTATGCCCCAGGGTGTCTGGGCCACGGGGCGTGGGGGTGGCTGGAGGCTTCATGGGTCGTGCCCTGATGGCTGCATCCCTACAGGGTACCTCTGTGCTGGCTGTCACCGCCATAGACAGAGACACGGGGGTGAATGATGAGATCTTCTACAGCATCACCAGTGAGTGAGGAGGCAGGGTGAGATGGGCAGGGTGGGTGGTCAGGCAGCAAAGGGCACCATGGAGACTAGTTCTCGGCTTTTGGCTGCTGCCAGTGGAAGGGAGGGTCAGCCTGCATTTCCTGGTGGCTGCAGCTGGTTCCTGCTCTGCCTTTGCTTTAGATGACAGCGTCCCCTTTGCTATCAATTCTACGACGGGCACCATCACTGTGAGTGAGCCCCTGGACCGTGAGCAGCTGCCAAGCGAGGAGATACTGCTGGAAGTCAAGGTAAGAGGCAGCAAGGGGAACCCCGTCCTCTTCCTCTGCCTGGGCCTCTCTGACCTATTCTCTCCTCCTGCTCAGGCACGTGAGAAGAACCTGGACATCTATGGCAAGGAGGCCCAGACCAGCACCATAGTGACAATCCGGGTGACTGATGTCAATGACAACAAGCCCCAGTTCTACCACTGCTCCCTCGCCAGCTGCAACTTCTCCACCAGTGTCCAGAACAACTTCAGTGGCAGCATCATAGAGCATTCCTCCTTCAGATTGCCCGTGTCCAACCTCAGTATCGTCGCATACGACCCGGACAAGGTGGGAGCTTGTCCAGGGGGCTGGGCTGGGGTTGCAGATGCCTGTCCTGGTTGCACCACCCACCCTCACTCCTGTACATGTCTCCCTGGCAGGACACCAACGGCAGCTTTGAGCTGTACCTGCAGGGTCCAGATGCCAGCGCCTTCACTGTCTCCCCGTCAAAGATCGTGGGCACAGGGGAGGTCCAGATCCTGGTGCAAACCCCAAATGCTGTGGACTACGAGATAAGCCATGTCATGGTGGTGCAGGTTCGCTAAGGGTACAGTCCCTGCTCCCTGCGTATGCTGGGGCACAGAGGTGACAACTCTTCTCTTGCAGGGTTCAAAAGCCGAAGCAGAACATGGCTCTGCCCTGGCAGCTTGTGTGGTGTAGGGGAGCTTGGCTGGAATGTGATAGGTCTCTTTTTCATTATTTGGGGACTCGTGTGAGACACTGTCCCTTCTCCGTACTGCAGATTGTTGCTAATGACACAGGGAACCCCACAGACTGCTGCTCCACGGCCAATGTAACCATCGACCTCATTGACAGCAACGACCACGTCCCTGACTTCCCTCAGAGCACCTACTTCCTGAGCGTGATGGAGAACTGCAACGACAGCACCGTCATCACCCCAAACATCACGGTCAGGCACCGGGCAGGGAACAGGCACGGCTTATGTCCCCCAAGCCGGGCGCTGGGCACGCCTGGCACTGCTGGCATTGAAGGCACTGGTCTCTCTGTGCACATGGGAAGGAGACAGTGCCAGTGGGCACACACGGGTGTGAGACCTCGTGCCCATCAGGGCCATGTTTTCGGGGTGCTCACTGCCAGCTCCTCACTGCCCTGGGGGCTGAGGTGGATTGATCAGGTGCTTCTTTCTGTTTTAGGCCTATGATCCCGACAGCGGTGTGCTGGGCCAGATCACCTACGAGCTGCTCCCGGAGACCATGTATGTAGGGGCACAGCCAGCCACGCGCTGGGGACACGCATTGGACAATGCTGTGGCATTGTCCCAGCAAGGGGGCTCCAGGCCTGAGCTGTTGTGACATCTCCATGTGTGCCGTAGCCGTAAAATCTTCACGGTGAATGCCACGACTGGGGCAGTGCTGGTGCAGAACGGGAGCTTGCTGGACCGGGAGACTCGCTCCATCTATTACGCCAACCTCCAGGCCAAGGATGGGGATGGCCTGGTGGGCACCACCGTGCTGGAGATCACTGTGCTGGATGCCAACGACATGAGACCCATGATCATCGGCTCCTACTTCATCTCGGTGGAAGAGGGGCAGAATGTCAGTATAGTCATCCAGGTATGCACCAATGGAGATGGAGGGGATGACACGGGGCTGTCGGAGAGGAGCAGGCACTGTCCCCGACATGCCAGACAGCCCCATTCCAACCCCTGACATTTTTAGGCCATTGACAATGATGAGCCTGGCAACCCAAACAGCCAGTTGGGCTTCAGGATCTTACCAGGACCGTTTAGTGAAAACTTCACCATCAACGAGACCACAGGTTTGATGCACAGCAAGGAGCCACTGGACTGCGAGGCCTTGGACGAGCAGGGGAAGATGGTGGTGACGGTGGAAGTGTACGACCACGGCGTGCCACAGCTCAGCACCTTGGGGAATGTCACCATCACTGTGGGGGTGAGACCTGGGCACAAGTGGGCATCCACTGGGGCATGTCGGGGCTTGGAGCTGGGGTGCAAGGGCAACGAAGGGACATGGGATTCCCGGCCTTGGCAGGGGCCCCGTGTCCCCAGGCTTTCTGTGGGGGCAGAGGGAATAGTTGATGCAGGGAGGCAGAAGAGGGCTTGTGTGCCTCCTGCCTGTGGAATGGCAGGTGTCCACATTCCTGTCCCCAACCTGCTCAGGGCACCATGTTTCCTGGAGCAGCTACAACCACGGACTTTCTCTCCTGCAGGACATAAACGACAACGCACCCGTGTTCCTCAACCAGTCCTATGAGTTCTCAGTCTTTGAAGACTCTCCAGGTAGAAGCTGCATGGCCAGGATGGTGGGACCAGTGGTGTCACGGAGTCACTGCCCACTGGCCACTGACTGTTTGTCTCTACCTGCAGGGTCCCCTGTGGGTCATGTGGAGGCCACAGATGCTGACGGGACAGAGATCAATTCCCGCATTTCCTTCCTATTTGAGAGGAGCACTGGCTCTAGCAACTTCTTGATCCGCTCGTTCCGTCTGGGGATGGGGCACTACAGTGGGAATCTGTCCGTGGACCCCGACACATCCCTGGACTATGACACCATGCAGCAGAAGTTCTTCTCCTTGATGGTGGTGGCAGAGAACACAGCCGCAGACCAAGTGGGGGACAGAACCAATGTCACTGTGGTAGTCCACATCCTAGATGTTAATGACGAGCGCCCTACCATCCAGCTTCCCTTGCCAGACAACATACGTGTGAGCGAGAACGGCACACAGCAGGGGCTGGTCTTCACGCTGACCGCCTCCGACCTAGACACCAACCACTCGCTGGTCTTCGAGGAGCTGGCGGTTGCCTGCTCCAAGGAGGGGGTCAGTGCTGGGGAGGTGTGCTGGGACTGGCTCCTGCTGGCACCCAACGGCTCGGTGCTGGTGAACAGCTCGGACATCGACTACGAGCTGTGCGACACGGTAGAGATCACGCTGCGGGTTGAAGACCTGTACACCGAGAAGGGCAACCGCTACAGCCAGAACGGTAGGGAACCCACTCCCTGCTCCTTCCACTGCCACCGGGAACAGGGGGAGGTGGGACCTGCTTTTCCCACCTCCCAGGAGGGGCTTTGGGGAGCAGGGCGGGAGCTGGGGGGCTTGGTGATGGAGGGAGGGTGTCCCCAGCTCTTCTGGTCCCTGCCACAAGGACCTGAGCCTGCTAGGAGGATGGGACTCCCAGGGGAAGCAAAGGAGAGTGTTGCAGGGCTGCTCTGTGGGTGACCTGAGGTCTGCATTTGGGGCATTTGCAGAAACCCTGAGGATCCACATCACTGACGTGAACGACAACGTGCCGGTCTTCCTGCCCATCTTGGACACCTTTGGTGAGCAGCCAGGGCTGGGGCATACTGTGAGCTTCTTCGCATTCACACGTGCTCTACCATCCTCCTTGGCAGTGAGGACCTTCTTCCAGCCAGGACAGGGCTGTGAGAGGTGCAGGGGCCAGGCTGGAGTTACTCAATGCTTTCCATGAAGGCTGTGGGGTCAAGAGCAGCGGAGGGGGGAGATGCCCAGAGCTCTGTTGAGCCACAGGGCTGTGTAGTCATGGGGTCTGCAGCAAGCCTGGCTGCACACCAGCATGACCATGCTGTCTGTCTGTCCCTGCTAGTGGTTGTCCCCGAAATCTCTCCTGTGGGCCTGCAAGTGGCTACTGTGAAGGTGAGGAGCTGTGTGCATGCATCCGTCCGTCTGCAGAGACGGGGTCACCCGTCCCCACTGTGGACAGGCAGTGGCCCTTCCCATCCATGCTCCTGCCATGCTTTGTCCCTGCAGGCCACAGACGCTGACTCAGGGATGGCGGGAACCATCACCTTCTCCATTGCCAGTGTGGTATTTGTGGAGGACAACGGGGCCAACCGGACCTTAGAGAACCTCTTCAAGGTGGACACAACTGAAGACAAGGGCATCTACACCGGGAGCATCCAGTGAGGCCATGGGTCTGGGCCAGGGTGGGGAGAACGTGACTCAGCTCCTGCCTGCCACCAGGCAGAGGTGCAGACAGGGCCAGGACAGGCTGGCAAGGGGACAAGGCCATCTTGGGGTCCTGCCCTGGACATGGTGGCAGGGCGGAGCTTGGGGGATGGCCGTGCCCTCCCGGGGATGTGCCGTGGGTTCACTGTTGTCCCCGTCCTTGCAGGGTGGCCAGCAACCTCGATGGCTCAGTTAAGGGGCAATACCAGGTGATGGTGGAGGCTCAGGACAACGAACCAGAAGTGCACAAAACACAGATTGCACTGAACGTGAGTGTCACCCCCGTCCCCCCGCCACGTCCGGGGACACCCTGTCCCGCTCACCCCTGCTCTCCTCACGCAGATCTTCACAGTGGATCAGAGCTACCGCGTTCGCCTCCAGTTTGTGTCGACGGTGGATCAAGTCCAGAGTAGTTCCGAAGAGATCAAAGTGTAAGGGGGTACAGGGCTGGGCTGGGGGGTGCACGGCTCTGCAGCGGGCGACACAAGCATGCAGGCCAGGACCCTCCCACCACGTCTCCCAACTTCACGGACCGTGAAGGGGACCAAGGCAGGCAGGTCCCCACTACAGCCGGGGGCTGCAGGGCATCCAACTGCTCCCCGTGTCCACAAGCGGAGTGGCAGGACACCCGGCCCAGCCTCCCTCCATCTCTTCTCTTCCTAGGGCCCTAACAACCGCAACCAAGGCAGGGGTCTACGTGGCAGCCATCCGGAGCGCGGAAGAAACCCGTGCCTCCCGGTGAGTGAGGCCATGCAGGTGGTGGGGAAGGGGACATGGCAGTGGCATCGGAAGGGGTCCTCCTGTGCCCTGCAACCCTCCTCACCCCATCTCTTTGATCCCGCAGGGTGGAAGCCAAGTCGGTGATGGAGGCGTACTTTGTCTACAGCAATGGCACTGCCCTGGACGCCAACCAGCTGAGCGTGTGCGTGCAGGGTGGGGGCCACAGATGGCCACAGATGGCCAGCACCATCCACCTGGACTGGCCCAGCCGCTCACACCTCTGCTTCCCTTGGCAGGATCATTCAGTCTGACCCGCAGACCCTGGCTGAGCTGGTGAACCTGGGCCTGGCTATCATTGTGAGTGGGGCTGGGCAAGGAACACAGGGAGAGGGCACCAGCCCCATGTGGGGCTGGAGGGTGGGGGGTCCGCTCGCCGGGGCTGTGGCCTCACCTTTGCTCTGCACCAGGGCCCCGGAGAGGTCGTAAAGCCCAACAGGGAGGCAGAGCTGATCGGCATCATTGCAGGGCTGGCAGCATTCCTGCTCCTCTTCATCCTCATCATGACCCTGGTCTTGGTTTTCACCACCAAGAGGTACTGCACTACCCACACACACCGCCCCCCGCCTCCCA